TGCTGCTGGTGCTGGTGGTGCTGGTGGTGCTGGCGGTGCTGGCGGTGCTGGCGGTGGTGGCGCTGGTGGTGCTGGTGGTGCTGGTGGTGCTGGTGGTGCTGGTGGTGCTGGTGGTGCTGGTGGTGCTGGTGGTGCTGGTGGTGGAAGTAACAGTAGGAGTACTGATCACAAGAATCACCATAGCATTAACAAAAACAATAATGGTGGTGCTTCTACTGCTGCTGGCTCGTCCAGTGCTGCCAGTACTGCTGGCGCTGCTACTGCTACTGTTCCCACTGCCGCTGCTACCGCAACAGTCAAGGCCCAAGAAATACGTGCCCCGATCATCGCACCTTGTTGTTTTTGGTCTAGGTAGTTAGGCTCAAACAGCCAGGTCAAGGGCTATAGGAGTTTGGGAGTCCGGAAAAATCTGGGAGAGGGTGCACCACATTGCCTACCAATAGGCAGTCTATCAGTCCATCACAACTCAGACCAGGCACAACACAACTACTGAGATGGGCTGGGGCTTAAGATTCCTCAAGTCTACACCCTCAGCCACAAAATGATGCCTGCAAAGAAACGCCACTTAATTGACCCATGCTTGGGCTTTCTGGGGGCTGGGCGCAATATAAGGTGGGGGCAGTATAGGATCGCACGAATGTTAATTAATGCCGGGCCCACACCAATGCCAGCACCCACGACCATCAGCGTGTCAAAGCCCCACACCTGGCTATGAGAATGGCATTTGCAACTCTAACCCGGGCTACCTTCCAAATTTTTCACAGTTGGGACCCCATAGCTAGCCTATCCAGCATGGCTGTGTGAAGCCTGGAATGTGCAAGGCACCTGCCCTCCCTTACTTCATTGGGCTGAAGTAATTAGGCCTCTACGAATGGTCCAAATGAGAGTACACTGAGTACATGTTGCCAGCTTCCACGAAAGCTTGCCATGAGCCTCACCACAACCCCCTGAAGATCCCATGGCCTAGAACATCAAAGATTTTGTACCTGCAGTAGCACTGGCAGGTGACTCTGTGCGAAAGAATGGCAATGTCCAACTCCTTGGGAATGGTACGCTTAAGATGTTGAAATAGAATCCAGTCTAGTGCATTGAGGAGCCATTCTCATTTTGGCTGGTTAGACCCTCGGAGGCAACCCTGCAAGTTCAGACGCCTCGGCAATCCAACTACAAGCTTCAAGGCTTAAGGCTTGGCGCTTTGTTTTGGGCCTGCGATCCCATCCTGGATGAGTACGGGGCGGAGGTAGGGTTCCTTTAACATGTGTTCATGTGAGCGCTACATCTAGATATCTACATCTCTGAATAAGTGCCCATGGCAGGAGGGGGTACATATTGTATTGTTTACCGGGGCGCCCTTATAAGAGACAGGGATCTGGGCACTCCCTGCAAATCCTTATGCCGCTTGGATGCCGTCATACTGTAGATGACCTTAGACTGGCATTCTGCTGCGGTTGCTATCCATGAAGCCCCTCTATCCCGCAGAGGCCCTCCACGACGACCCACCTGTTTGAAACCTGGGAGAATCTCAAATTTGTGCGCGAGACCCTAGACCCCGAACCACAAGCCCCAAACCCAGATCCGAAAATTTTGAAGGCCCAAACTCCAACCTTGAGCCCCCGCCGCAATCTCTCTTCCCAAAAGCCTACCTTGAGTCATGTTATGCGAAATATCTGGAATTGGCAGAAATGATACCATGCTGGGCTCGGCCCATTCTGCATACAGCAGTGCACCCCGAACCCCAAAAAGCCGCCTGATAACACACACACCCAGAAAGTCTCAACGGAACCAAGCAGCCCAAACCCTAAAGCCTATCTAAGCCTGTCCACCGTAAGCTTAAGCCCATCATCTGCCTTCTGCGCTGGTGCACCAAATGGCCCTGTGACCTGCAGCACCACGGCCTGCAGCGATTTTTTGATGTAGGGATGACGGGTTGAGGGGTTTGAGGGTTTGGGCTCTGCCGGTTTTGGGTGGGGCTGGGCTTACTTGCTTGCTATATGAGGGTGTTTTAACTTTAGGGATCCTCATCTGGCTTCGGATCTGGGAGTTTGGACCAGGCTAAGTGGACACTGAATGTTGCTCCTTTTGTATCACCGTGCCACTTTCTGCAGGGAGCCAGGTATGGGCCAGAGTGTACTCCACCGTTTCTAGAAATGATAGACACCATCTCGACATTTATAGCTGGTGCCGCACCTGCGGTTTCTTCAACTTCTTGCTATGAACCTTGATCTCGGAACCCCAATATCTGAAATGTGCGGCTCTTGAGCGGACAGCGGTGCGGTGAACCAGGTAAATTGGGCTTTATACAAAGCATATGGGGAAGAGTTGAGCACACCAAGATCATGCTGAAGTAGATAGAACCCCAGCAACACTCGGACTTGACTTGACAGCGTTTCAACACAACGTAGTTGGCCCATCCCAAACTGCGAATCTGGATCTCCGAGCAAGACCTAATTCTCTGGGGAATGCCTTTGAATCGCAGACCCTCTGCCGAACTAAATTTTGAGCTGCGAGAGAGCCAAGCCTTAGGACCGCAGAATCTATGACCTCTGCGTACCTGCATCCCGAATCATTCATGAAGCTCCTCGCTTTCAATGTGCATGCATGCGCTGAACTACATCGAACTACATCTGTAGAATCCCACCTTCTTCCTAGTATTGTCTACCTTCCCCTGCTACAGATAATACTTACTAATTATCGCCGGCGCCACACATTGTCACGTTCCTTGCGTACAGTACCTGTATAGAAACCAGAGACCAGATCGGAAGATCCAAGTCTAGCGCCTCTTGTGGGAGGCTTCCGGCTGGCGGACTACCTCGGACAATCAAAAGACTTGAGTGCTTGACGAGATGATGGGATCTTGCGGTACACCTATTACAAATACTACTACCATGATTATGATTATTATTACTACTCTTACTCTTACTCTTACTCTTACTCTCGCCCTTACTCTTACTCGTCTTACTCCTGATTTTACGCTTTACTCTTACACTTATCCTTACGCTTGCGCTGCTACTTCTACTATTACTATTTCTAGTTCTATTACTATGAGGCCATCTGTGAGTTAGATCTCAAGGTTCAGGCTACCCTTAAGGGATGCTCTACATATTTGCTTCAGAAACGGATCGCGTTGGATAAGTTGCCCAGAGAGCTGAATCTAACACTACACCGCATGAGTAGCCGGATCTTTTGGGGAAGTCCTGCCTGAAGCTCTGCTGGCTATGTGTGGAATTGAAGTGGAGTATCGCCCAGCCCGGGGTTGAAGGAGCTCTGTTGCATAGGCTTCCATCCCGAAGTGCGGCATCTTTGGTCTTGGGCTTTTCTGCTTTTGAGCTCGAGCTTGGGGCAGGTTCAAGCATTCAAGGGTCTTGTCTTGGGTGTGAGCTGTGCGGGATCTGACTTCACACTCCCCTTCAATTGCTCACCTGAGCTACGGTCGAACTTCCTAACCTCCGTCAGTTGGGGTGGTGTTGTTTTTCGCTTGTTGTCAGCACTCTTTGGCTTTTCAAGGGAAGCCCCTCTGTAGCTGACTTAATGCCTCTTGCTCGGCAGATTAAGATCCCAGCGGTTTGCTGCATCAGGGTTATCTTCGCTTTTGTCCCATATCCCCTCGCAGGATTTCCAGCGTCAGCTGCTCAAGTCATGTCCGCCTCCAACATGATTTAGTGGTTGATAGTTTTGACTGCCGGTAACATGAGACTCACGTGATGACCGTTGCACAGGAGAATGAAACAGCTTTCCCATCATTGGAGTGGTCATGCAAGCATCATGGCCCGTACCCTCTTCACATGCTTTTTTGAGACTGATCCAGGCAGAGATGCAAAATACCCACCGTTTTGGACAACGGATCGTGGCCTCGGCCCTGTGTGCTGGTTGACCCCTTTATTAGGTGCACTCTTGCTGTCTTGCTGTGTCTTCTCAACACCCTGAAGCGTGCTGCATTTAGCAACAATCCGGTGAACCCTGCACGCTCCTGTCAACTGTTTCTTGTGGCGTGGTAGCGCATACGTGCTTCGTAATTCCGCTTCTGTGACCCATATCATTGAGGCCTGAACCGCCAAACCCTACTCCTTGCTTACGGACATGGCGAAATTCGTAATCCCAGATCCCAGGCACTCACCAAAGTCTCGCCGGAACGAGCGACGGCAGTTCCCATTTTGCCTGGAGATGGTTCAGCTGCCAAACTCGGATGTGGCTACACGTTTGTTCAACATCTGCAGGGCTTTGCGTACAAACAAGCTTGAGACTTCTGTGAAGATCAACCCCAGTGAAAGCTACAGTATAGCCTGGGCGAAAGGGCCTGGTGTTAGTTAAGTTAGGTAGTTTTCGGGTGAAAACACCCCCTTGTGTCGGATTTTCGGGGATCTCTTTGCGGCTTCCTGGGATGACTAAGGAACTTCCAGCATGAAAGTCAAAAGCATGAGATAGGACCTTAGACGCCTTAGGCGGGGCCCTGCTGTTGCATACCTGGTTTGTTCTATTGTCTTAATGCCTGCCCGAGAGGCCTCAACCTTGCCTGTGCAAATGCTTTCATATCATCTTACCGTGTGCGAGAGCCTCACGAAAGTCGAGTCTTTGTCTCCACTCCTGTCCTTGTTCTACTACTGATGCTGGCACTGCTAACTTCGTGTAGGGCTGTAGAGCCCGCTGTAGGAGCCTAGACTCCCATAACTTCTTTTGCGGGCATAGAATGCGGCAACCCTACGCCCTAAACCCCACACAACCTGAAATTACGTCTCTGGCTTCAGACGCCCACAAATCCAGAACCCTCCATTTCTCAAGGACCAATTGCAGAATGCCCCACAACCCCAGTACCGGCTCTGAGCACGTCCTCATTCCCGAGCCTGAAGTGGTGAGTGGGGCTGGAAGACTTGGGCAGTCAGTATCTAACCACGAGCTGCTTCCGGGAGCAATGCGCATTTCATCCATTTACAAGCACCTCTGAGCTTGTGAACTGCACCCAGATCCCAAATCGCAAGACCCCAACAATCACGTACAACATCCTTCGGAAAAACGTCAGGTTCCTGACGTACAGATATGCTACAGGGAACAGGAACAATGAACAAGACTTGCAATCACATCCCTACATAGTGCATATAGTGCCACGGCAGCCGTACACCCCTAGAACAACCAGCAGGGTACTAAGCCCGAGATGCAGCTGCAGATCAAGCTGTTGAGCCTTCAACATAAAGCCTTAACATTCCGTCGCCACAGCTGTGAGCCTGAGACCATGAACCCTGCCAACCCTTAGGTCATTAGCCCTCTATCCCAAAACCTTAACCCTAATCCCCAAACCCTATGCACTCAAAGTCCCCACGGTGCCTGAGGGGCTGCGTCCCAGAAGGCGTGGACCCTGGCCATTCTCGGCACCGGTTGGCGCGTCAAGGTCTCGCACTATGAGCTCCTCACTGTCATCCACTGGGTCTGCTCCGGGGTCTCACTACAACATGCGCAACAAAATGACGTCCTAGGGATACATGAAGATTACAAAAGGATTCTAGGGTCCTACTAGCGATTCGAGATAGCAAGTATGGGACTTTGTCAAAAATGTGGGCTCCTGTCAGCACGCCATGTAATCAACTATGCTATGCTCGAGGCGATCAGAGCAACCCTTATTTGAGAAATTTGAAGGGTTCAATTGAGCCTTCCACAAACACATTTGGATTGTGAGGGTCATCGTATGGACTATGTAGCCCTCAGACAAGCACTGAATGGCACATAGACTGGATGCATTTTGCAATCGCCTCCCCCTCATATAGAACACCCCACAACCCATTGAGTTTATGTTGAACCTGGCTGCCCAATATACTTGGGTTCTTCCAGGAACGAATTGGCACTTTGGGGTGGGCGGGCGGCAGCTTAGGGGGAAAGAATTCTTCAGCATCAGGCCATGACATCCATGACATGGAGATGCCCGCCAAGCCTGGAGTGCCCACTGCTTGTCAGGGCTTAGGGTTTGGGGTTCAAGGCCCTTTTGCAAAATGCGAATAGCAAAGCCCCCTAACGGCGGTTGGGCTGGAGTCACGTTTTTGCAAAGACTCATTACGGGATCTTTGGAAACATAAACTCATTTAGCGCAGAAGAGCGCAACTGCCAAGGATGCGATTTCTGTAAATAATACCAACGGTGTTGTGGCTTTTCACTCTACACACTCTTTGTTCAGGATCCCCTGATTTCCTCCTCTTCTTTCTTGGCCACCTTGGGGACGTTGTAGACTACCTGGCCTCGGATCACTCCGGAACAGAAAAGCACAGGCGCTTGTGATAGCGAGGGTAACATGACATGTGATGGCAACGATGAAAAGAAGAGGATCACGTCAACCCATCACTCATAAAGCAAGCCTCTGGCCTTGAATGATGTGTAGAGTGTCGGGTGGGGTGTGTGGAGCTGCTTCGTTAGTTGTTGGCAGCAGCACTAAGGCTTTTAGATTTGTGAAGCTCACAGACACCGCAACAGGATGCTAAGAAGCGTTTAGCCCCTATAGGAGATCTCGCGGCCATTTTTTTAACGTACGTTTGCTAGTTCACGAGGTACTTCGGGAAGTGTTCATCACATGTCATGCCTGCGGGGCTGTACTGACATGAACGATTTTGGTCGGCGCTTCTAACAGCAAACTGCCTAAGACTGTGGGAGTTGACCAGCAGATGCCTCAAAATCCCTACCAAGCCGAGCTCCAGAAACTTTAGCTGATGCTCCCAGGACAAACTCATAAACGGTAAACCTGAACTCAAAACCTCAAATCCCTTGAGCCCAAGGATGCTTTACCCGTCACAGGGTTGTTTCTGCTCCTAAGCAAGAGAGAAGATGCAACACAGAAGCCTTGCTCAAACTCTTTGTACAATCCCATCCCCGGATCTCTTGGAAGGGTCCTATCACTCTTAGGGGTTTGGTCAAGGAAAGGTATCGTGTTTGGGGTAGACAGCCAAAACGAAATCATGATTGAGTGTCAGGTTGAGGGCCAGCGCTTTTCGGGTCATGTCGCTTTTGGGGCTGTTTTCGTGATCCCTACATGGCGCGCTAGACCCCTGCCTTTTGTCCGCACTACGCGACTTTTGATGATTGCTTACACATATAGAAAACGGTTCAATCCTAGTAGTGGTGTAAAGAATCAACGAGGCAGAATGAAGCAATCCCAACAATTGTCAGGCCTGCCACTGTAGAAATCTTAACGGCCCGAGACTCTGTTTGGCAGTGTGCACTTGGCGTATTCGATGAGAAGAGGCGCCTTGGTAGAGGCCCGGATCCTAATTACTGTCCCTGGAAAACAAACAGTCGGGGATGCATCAAAGGTTCACTTTAGGTCGTAAGTAAGCCTATAGTCAGATACAGCTCACAGCTTTCTATTGGCAAAGACAAGCAAGTGCTTCAGAGATCATTATATCTGAGTCCGTACAGACCTGCAGACCTTGCTGTTCACTGTTCTTACAATTAGGGCAACCCCTTTAAGGCCAACTATTGAGACTAGAAGTAGAATTATTAGCCGAGTCTTGGACCAGCAAGTATAAACCCTAAACACCCTAAACCCAATCCTCAATAGGCCAAAGCCCTGTGGACCCTCAACCCTGACCTTCAGGCCGCAAATAGCCCAAATTTAGGCACTATTTAAAAACTTTGGGGCATAATGTAGGTATCGATTATAGGCTTGGAGCTCTGGGGAAAATCTACACCAAGGATGCCACCCTGGGGGGCTTCTCGCACTTTGCCTCGCCCCGTGCCTGGGATGGCGCCTCCTCGGGAGGTTTGGTATGGATTGAATTCAGGAAGTGTGGGGCTTCAGTATAGGGCCCCAGGAAGCAGTGTGTAGAAAATACAGGGTTTGGGGATGTTGGGTTTGGGAAATGCGGGGCTCGTGCACAGCTCAAGATGCCATAGGGTTTGGGGATTTAGGGTTTCAGGAGAAGTGGAGAGCTGCGGGTTCAGGAAGTACAGGGCTTGATCTACAGGGGATCTAAACTTGAGAAAATTGAGAAGTACAAGGCTTATAGGGCTTCATGTTAAGGGTTCAAAAAGTGTAGGGTTTGGGAATTCAAGGTCTTCGAATTCGGGTTTAGTAAGTCCAAAAGTTAGGGGTTAGTGGATGGGCTTGCCGGATGGCTGTCGACATCAAGGCGCAGAAGCCCATAACCCAAGTGACTATCCGACTTGCGAAGTGATATAAGAGCGAGGGACACGTGATCTGGATCTCACGGGGTTTACAGGGATGAAAGATTAATGGTTCTGGTTTCAGTCTCCAGGGCATTCTAGGGCCTCAAGGAGGCCCTCACATAAGGATGGATCCTCGAAAGATTGGAGACCTCAATCCGCCAGAGATCAAGGCGCACATAGGGACCTACTTGTAGGGTAAGAATTCCTCAAAGTCTTGACAGATTTGCCTCCAATATAAGTCAATGTAGGCCCGAAAAAGGCATCGCTGAGCTGAATACAAAACGTCGCTTTGTGTATGCACTAACCCCAAGCCTGACATTTCCGCCCTAAAGCATTGGAATCTGAAACCAGAAGAATAGGCTAAGATAGTTGACAACAAAGCTCCTCCGTGAGGCGCTTTCGCAACGCCGAGCACCTGGAGGGCTTCAGATGGCGTGGGACTTAGGGTCCTGAACCCGGCTCCCTAAAGATGCCCGACTCGGGCCGCGGAGGACCTTTCTAGGAACTCCTTTGAACACCAATCCTTTGCTACCAGTAAATGTGTGGGTGCCTGGCTCTGTTGGGTCAGGGTCAGCTTCAAAGACTTCACAATTTGTGGATCCAGGTTTTGTAGGTCGCGGTTGGCAGCCTTTGGAGCGCTGGTAAAGGTTCAAGAATGTCCTGAAAGCTCGAGCCATAATTGGTAAGCAATCAGCTTTGGTCTCAGCATTTGCGCGTGGTCCAGATTGTATCATCGGAGAGCTACGAGTCTACAATCTTGTTTGGAAGTGTCGAGGGTTCCATCAGGGAAAGCATCACAGATCATAAGATATCATAAGCTTCTGTCCAGAACCCTATGCCCTCCTGAACAATCCGTTGCAGCCATAGCCTGCACAAAGACCATCCCCGTACCTTTTGGCACCCACCCGACCCGCTTCCATTTGAGCACGGCCAGCTGGACAATGGGGACGTCTCAAAACAGGCTGAAGCTTGGGGACCGTGCGGATGAAAGAGGATCATGAGGCGATGGTCGATTACACCTAAAGGATTTCATTGAGATTATCTTGAGTGATATACCCAAAATCCTGTTTCAAAACCTAGGCGCCAGTCGAGCGTGTTTGGCGAGCGAATGTGAACGCTGATGCAGTTCTCCTGATCTGGGGCACGCCGCATTACGGGCTTTTAAAACCGGGAAATTGGGAATCCCAATTTTCGAGACTGTACCTTTAATGGTGAGCTTACAGCAGTCTTCAATTCGAAGAAAATCCCAATAGCATAGTCGTGAAAGCCATGGACACTTGCACGTATACCTCGGGGCGGGCCCTGGCGACTGACATGAGGTTGAATGGCACACTCAAGATGTGTTTCCACCGTAGGGCTCACAGGGCAGGGTTCAGGATTACCTGATAAGGGGCGGGGCTCCTGATCATTACATTTCAGCATGCACATGGACTGGCCCCATGCGTGGCCATCCCTTAGGGGTTTACAAAGCAGAGGCGGCATGTAGAAATTGATGGGATGCGCGCCTGGGTTGGCGTCTTTACTGGGCCTGGGCTTCAAGATCCAAAGTACAAGTCCTGCATACCAGTGTTGAAGTTTCCTAGCAGAATCTAGACTGGCCACTTTGTGGGGCCATACACTAGCCTCACGGGGTGGATGCTGCAATCGCTGAAGGAAAAAGGGAAGCTTGGAATGGAACCCTATGCCTGCCTGTGCTGCTTCGGAGGTCGCTCAGCTGTCGCTCAACTTTCAAAGAGAAAAACACGGAAGCAAGTATTGGCAGTGAGTTTGGCGCAGAGCATCCTCAGTATCTTGATGTTGAGCAGAAGCCCCCAAACAAGCTCAAACAAGCTCAGCGGCTTCACCTCAAACCTCCAAACGCTCAGTCTCAATGGAACTCCAATCCTAAAAGCTCAATAATGCACTCGCTGAAGGCCTCCGGCGCTGACGTCAGCGTAAAGGGATGCCACTCGCCCTTCCATCCCAGGAGGATGTATTGCCCAGCCTCCACTGTTCAGGGCTTGCGGTCTCATACTTGCAGGCTCATGGTATTTAAAAGCAGAGGGCGGAGCAGAGGGATAGGTAAGCTCACTGCGAAAGATGTACGTCGTTTTCTGGGTCCTAACAATACCATGTACGCGAACCTCCGAGTAATGCGGGTATTAATCGCGGTATGAGGTAACACAAGAAGTCATAACGATGACGATCATGTCAAGCCACAACCCAGTTGCCTTGCACCTGCAACCCCACAGCCTCATAGTATGCGTAGGGGGCTTTAAGAGGATTATGGGGGTCCCTATCATAAATGATTTGCAGAATGTCCTGAAACAGTCCAAGGTTAATGCACTAGCTAAGACTACCTGATTCAAAAGGAGCCTTGAGCTTGGAGACCGGTTTCCCGCCCCCAAAACACGGGACCTGAGACTGGGCCCACTCTAGGCTATTAGGATTCTAACAAATGTCTATATTATACGGGGGTTCTTGGGCACTGTTGACCTTTCGTTCCGTTTATCTGTTGTCACCAGTTCTTACGTAGGCCATAGCACCCTCAAGTCATGCTGAGGTTTTCGGCACCATGGGAAATGCCGAATACAACATAATCTACACGTTCCATCATTACACCTGGTTCAGGAGGGCTCAAACCCTGTAAGCCCTATAAGCCTCTGAATCAGCCTCAGACCCTGACTCCCCGTGGCCTGATAAGCAAAGCCCTGAGGCAACTCGAAAGTCAAGCCAATGACGTCTCCTTGAGTCAGGCAGTGCTGGGCAGCTGGAAGGATATAAGGAAAGAGATTAACGAACCCATGTCCTGACCATGGAAAATGACCTGCAGAGGGTGTAGGATATGCGGTCAGGGGTCAAGGGCGTAGGGTCTTCTTACAAAAGAGGCTGCAAGTAAGTAGCCAACCTTGAGCCGCTCTACATTGTTTGAAAGTGGGCTTGCTGCACTAGGCTATGTGTCTGGGTCATGCCCACAATCAAGGCCGCATGTTCGTAGCGCTAGAGACAGCGTGGCGGACTGCACAGCGCATCAAGAAAGCGCCCCCCCAACAAGTTTGAAGATTTTGACCGAACCCTACAAATTGCATAATCTCCCCGACCGTTCTACTCTCCAGCAAGACAGATGCAAGTCAGAAGCCTAGAATATTGAACGTTGCCTACAGGCGAGGTCTACTTCGTCTTTTCCGGAGGCTCTACAAGCTATATAGGCTGGAACACATCGAGCTTCACCCCACAAAGCAAATTAAGCTTGATCTATTCGCAGCATACTGTTCACGCAGCACAGCTCAGCAGAATTAGGTGTCCCTCTTCCCTGGACTACCTCAACCTAGACTCCCTAGACTCCAAATCCCTGCACTCCAAATCAGGGAACTGAATGCCTTTCTTAACAAACCCTAAGCACTAAACCCAACGTAAGGCCAAACATACAAGGCTCTTGGCAGGAGCTTCACGCTCCTCAGAGTTAGATACCTGAATTTCAAGTGGTGGACTTCAGGTTCAGAAGGGGGGGTTGCAGGGTTGTGGGGGTTCAGGTCTCAGATGGTAAAGCCAAGAAATAGTATAGTCATGTCTCTGTCTTTACATATAACTGATATACATAGATTTCTTACACATGGGATACAACCAGCATCTTCTAAGCTTGGCACTATTCAAAATAATATAAGGTTCTTGATGGTACACGCGTTACCACAAATCCTGGGCAGAATTGGGATTCTTAGGTTGCCTTTGATTGCGAACCTTTGGCTTTCTTGACATAGTTAATCCTGTATTGTGCGTTGAGCGGGTGGTTGCTATAAAGGGGTGGTAATACTCTTCTTCCTCTTATTTGTAGAAGCACTAGCACTGCCATACCTACAACGACACATCTGACAGAGCTGAGGCCGCAGAGGCTTTCATTACGATCACTCATTTCCCAGACCTTTGATTCGCATCTGGTCCGCCCAGAACCGGAGGGGGGTAGGGCGCTTATGATAAGGAATCTCGCGTTTCTTGGCCATGACGGCACCTTGTTCCTGCTGGATGGAGATTTGTAGGATTTTGGAATCTCGCTCTGTGTTTTGCCGGACCGGCTGTAATGACATGGCCCAGGGTGCGGGTTCATGCTTACGGTGTCAGTGTTGGTGCTGGGAGCTCGCATCTCACCATACTCTTCTGCATTTTGTCGCACTGCTGTTTGGTCTCTAGATCCCCGGTCTAGGCAAGACCTACCCATCAAGCACTGGATTGTGCTTGAGGGAACTCAATGTGTGGCACACTGCATGAGGAATGTAGACGCCGCATCAGGAGTTTGTGAATGGATGGCTTGAGCAGGAAAAACCTTTGAGAACCCGCTGGGAGCCTTGCTTTTCAGCTTTGTGGGCGCTGCTTCTGCCCAGGATGCGGTTCCTCATTTGCCTTGACACCTATTAGGGGCATGTGCACACGTATCTTGTGAACAGAATAAGACATGATCAGCCCTAAACGCCCAAGTGCTTCTAGAACCTCTCGAAACTTTGCTGTCTGAAGCTTTACAGCCTTAGGACACCAGGTGCGGGGATTGTGGACAAGGGACTCACAAGTACCCGTCAGTACAGAAATGGCAATTACGTAATTAATGCAACTCACGTGCGGAACGACAAGGGATGTTGGACTTCAAGTTGGTGGCAATTGACTGCGTCCTGTCTAGTCATTTCACCGTGCACCGATGTAATTTTTCGTCTCGCAGAAGCCCACTTTGAAACTGCAACCTAGAACATTCATCCCAGCAGCCCCAGGCAACACCTTTCGCAAACGCTTAACCTAGTAGGACCTATACCTACATCCTCAATTATGAAATTATTGTGCTCTCAAATCCCGCAACCGCAAACACGGCGTGTATGAAGCTAGTGACTGTTGGCCCACAGCAGTTCGAGCCTTTGATTTTGGAACCTGAACCCCATCAAAACATTGGAGTTCTTGGAGACTTAGTTAGCGGTACTTCTACCCCTCATCCAAAAGCCCATATGCCTGCGAGTAGTGTTCTTCTTCCTGTACTCCCTCTGTACCGCTGGGTCCCGAGGAGCACATTATTTGTGAATCCCCTACTTGAAGTCCGAGATGCAAAGCCTGATGGTTTGCAAGCAGCAACCGGTCAACGAGGACAAACAGCGCTGGGAAGAAGAACCTGAGCAGTTTACAGAAGGTGTACAACCTGGTCGAAGTATGCTGGAGCATACAAGTGTACTGTTTTCGACATGCCTATACAGCGAGCGCACCACAGTCACAATAGGAGGGTATAAAACACGGAGCCCGCAATGGAAGGAGCGAGCCTCATTGTCAGTTTCAGGACCCTCAAGAATTGAGATGCCCCTGTTCCTGGTGTCGAGAACTTCCACCCAACAAAAACATCCTGCTCAAGTGCCGAGCTCAACGGTGCACAAATTTTAGGTTTCATGTCTGCGGTCTTCCACTTTGCAGACATCACGTAGACTCAAACTTGCCCCTGCCACCGAACATCCATTGCCAGTGGCAGGAAAGCCAAGTACACCCCAAACCACAACTCCGAGCTGGACACTTTGACGTCCGGGGATTCTCAAGCCTGTTTTTGGTCTCCTGGGCTGCAGCGGAGAAGCCAAATCCACAGGCGGGCGGGCGCATGCAGCATCAACAGCACGTAGACCCACTTCCAAGACATGTGGATGCGCCAGAACCTGAGGCGTTCGGGGTTCAGGGCCTGGGGTGTAATAGAAGGTCCTGAGGATGTTTGTCAGTTTCCAGACTGACGTGCCACTCTGCCCATGATCATCGGGCGTCTGAGGTCAACAGCTTTAGCCAGAAAGGTATGATAATCACATGAAGAATTGCGGTGAACAACAGGGTCTGAAAGGCACAAGTTGAACTCCTCTCCCAAATATTGATGAGTCTCGGAGTCAGCGTATGTGATGATGCCTTACGTTTGCTACTTGGACTATGATATGTTGTCTGATTACAACTTGGGCTGTTCCCTATCTAGCAAACACACCCCTCTCAGGAGGGCTGAATTTATTCTTCCCGTAGCATTAGACTTCCTAGACATCTTCCCCGATATACAATGGAATTACATTGGTAACATTTTATGGTAGGCAGTTATTATGAGGAGGATGGAAATAAACAACTTGCAAAGCAAAACGCAGAAGGATCCCAAAGTCTGCCTTGCGAACCCGTGCACCCCGAGGCCTCAACCCTCGTAAGCCCTGGAGCCTGTCCGATCCCTTACCCTAAAGGTACAAGTGCCTAAAGAGAATGTATTTAGGGCGCCCGAACTGTATCTGGTTGAGGACCCCATGAAGCCCTAAAGCTAAAAGCCCAGTTGATCCAATTTCCCAGCTTTGAAAATCACATGACCTACAAACCAGGAAGCTACTGTTCAAGTACCTGCAGAGCCCCCATCTACGTGGCAATCGGAGCAGCCCCCACAATAACCCATCCCGGGAAAATATCAACCTGCGAAAACATGCCTTTGCTGGAATGCTCGAACAATCTTTTTGGACATATCTCTTGCTTACACAAATCAACGCGTGCCTATGTCAGACGCACGAGGCTGCCCAGTTAAACTCATGAACTTCGGCAACGCTAAACTGAACCGCTCTCAACAAGGAAGATAGCAACCAACAGCGTATCTCCCGACCTTGAAGCCGAGACCCATATACCACCAGTTTTCCTATAAGCCATCCCGAGCTCAGCTTCGGACAAATTGTAGCCAAAGCATCGCCGAGTGAGGCAATTGGTTCCACGACGCGAGCAATTCACAGCCTTGCTTCAATTTGCGTGCGCTTGAAACCAGATCCAGATAAGTGACAAAAACAGACACTGTTGTTCACTAAATGCATAAGAAACACTTACCTGAAAATTAATAGCGGGTGTCTTCTGTTCTGAGCTGACACATCAGAGAGGCCCACACAAGAATACACCACGGCTCCTGCAACTAGAGTTCAGCGCTACATGCAATACATAGTAACCCAATTAGCCTACAGTTTACTGGGTTGTACATAACTGCTATAAGAAGTGGGGACATGTGGGGACTACGAGCGTGAGTCGCTGCGTATCCCAAAAAACGTTCCGTACACCCACCCAAAGGCACAGCAACTTACCCCATAGCCGCATTTTGTGTCCCAAAACCCTTTCCCCCATCGCACCGTGAGGCGCACATGTCGAAAAGCAGGAGAATAGGCGCCGAAGCACATTTCCGACGTCCAATCCCCCGGGGCACACTCCGTTTTGGACAGTGGACAGGCACATGTAGGAAAGCGAGCAAAAATCATTGTGCCTCGGCATTTCGTGCTCAGCACACGAAGAAGACGCGTAGAAATACCTCCCCGAGGTCCAATTCCCTTAGGCCCCGTGCGCTTCGGTTTCGCACAAGTAAGACATTTGAAAGCAAAGCTACAAACCGGCGTGTCCTGGCGCTTAATGCTGTTCAGCACACGAAGAATGACTGCAGAAGTCAAGCTCTCCAAGGCACAGCGTGTTTTGGTTAGTAGGCTGGCACATCTTGGAAAGCGGAGCAAAAACTCCCATGCCCCTACCTCTCTGCTTTCAGCGCACACCCCCATGTGACACCTGCAAGGCAAGGTTCGAGAAGGAGAAAGAATTCGGAGACACATGTAGCTCAGCGATAAATACGCCCTATCGATACCCCATCGAATTCCTGTTTCCACGGCCCCTAACTTTCCTGTCTTATCATGTATTTTTCTGTGCTCAATCCCTGTGCAGCCCCAGCATCTACATCATAGGGATGATATGACTCTACTCGCTCACATAAAGCATAACAACATCAAGGTCCTGACCTGCTCAAAAGAGTCCAGACATCGGTCGGAGATCAATGTTCTCCAGGCTCTAGCGTCAACTCGGAACGTTACAATCCACTGGGAACCAAACTTGTAAGGAGTTTCCTATCAATATACTGTACATGAACAATCACTATCAACATCGATTGGAAACCAGCGTGCCCTGGGGATTTATCAAAAGTAGGCACATGAGCAGCTATGCTTCTAACCGACCCAAGAAGAAACCGTCCCGCATGGCACAGTGGCTTTGGCGCAGGGTTTCGGGATCCGCACACGAAACAACAAGGACCCAGCAGGGCTCAAACAATTTTTATTGGCCCATTTCAGGGCATGTAAACATGGCTAATCGGCTCACATCAAGGCTGCAAAGTCGGCAACAGCATCGGAACGAGCGTCCCATTGACGCACATTTGTCTGTGTCAGAAACTAATCACCAAGCCCCCGCCATTTGCAGCAGCTTGAATCCTGCACAGTTTTTGGTTGCAGACTTCTATGTGGATGCAGGTCCTCCAACACGTCAGAAGATGTCATCGGGCATCCATATCGATGTCTTGCTCTTGTGAGCGCGGCTAGTCTACGGTTTCACTACCTAAGGATGATCTGGCAGCGGGGGGCAAAAATGATGTTGAAAAGGGAGCGCGGCAAATCTTCGCTTCATGTAGCCCTCATGAACTTGCGCAGGTTTTGTTGGCCTGCAAAAAAATGAGGCGACGGTTGCACTCACCATCCCGCCATTTCTTGCCAAACCACAACGCAAAATTTATGTTGCAGTATGTCGCGGTGAAGCCTGTAGATGCGACGCGATATGTAGCTAACAGCCCGCATCACCATGGTGGCATGTAGATTCAGGAAGCACCCACTCGGCACGGGCGCGACCTCTCGCACGGCGCCATCCCGATTAGCCGACCCGGACCTGGGCTGACCTGTTCGGGTGAGGGGGGACACAAGCGTGGCATCACAACACAATGCCTCCACGGTGGGCGTAGCACCGTACACGACAAGGTCAGCGGCAGCCCCTTGGACAGTCGTATTACTGCTGCGGCACGATGCGTCCTTCGGGCCCGATAGCTTCTCAACGCACCTGGACCCATGCCCGCTTGAAAACGACGCCGCGGCGTACCAACACATCTGCCCGCTGCACACTCCACAGGCCGACGAACATCTTTTGACCACCGCAACGCTCACTTACATCTCTTTCCTGCTTCCTCTCGTGCCACGGAAAGGGTGCTTCATAAAAAGAATCGGGCAGAATGTTTGCGATGACCGCAGCGCGAAGGTTGTAGCCACGACAATACCAGGGTGGGAGGGCAGCCACGGGTGAAGTCGATGGGTTCGTCATGGTTCGTCATCTTTCCACCCACAGGGCCCCGAACACTTTGGGGTCACCCCGACATTGGGAATGCTTGGGGGCGTTCTCGTAATCTTTCGTACAATAAATGCGTGTGTTGCCGTATGTTGTTGTGCGCGGAAGCCGCGGGACCGAGAAAATTTTGGGCAGGGGACAGAAGGGGTTGGGTAGGGGGTCATGATTTTCGGTGTGCTGTGCTGTTTATGGAAGATGCCGAACGCCTCCAGCACCCGGCGCATCTTCAGACGAATAAACGAGTCTACCTTGAATTGCTCTAATCGTCACGTTGCCTCATGGTCGTCTTTGACCTTGAGTTCCGTATCTTTTGCGTTGTGGAAGAAGCTCAAATCATCTAGTTTCTTGTCCGCTGCCGCGAACACTTGGTCCCGCCTCTGCTGCCACGGGACCGCACAGGGTCAGGGGGACTTGGGCCTGCAGTTATGCACGCGATTTTGTAAATTTTAATTCCGTAACACGGGCAGCGCCATCATCCACAACACCCAACACGGCGCTGCCAAAATCGCCCGGGTTGGGCCTTGAACCTCTGCCTGAAACGTTTCTTCATGCTGAAATGCGTATGCCACCACAGGGACGAGGCGAACGGCCTGAAGGAAAACCCGTGTGACCGAAACATATCAAAAACAACTAATGGAACAGGAAACAGGTTAGCGACATTCCGGTGCTCATGCGTGGGTCCACAACATGGACCATCAATCAGGAATCGTCTGGGAACCGGGCGCATGCATCCAATTTCCAAGTCCTTCCGAATATTTTTGCACGCTGTGTTCCTATTGCAATGCGTCAGTTCTTCGACCGCAAAACCCCNNCCCCCCCCCCAAAAAAAAAAAAACGCCAACAAAACCGGTTTAGGTGTCAGGCACGGTCGGGCAATTTTTCAGCCACTGCGGCGCCGTTTGTGCGTCCCCCCTCTCATCACACGAGCACGGTCAGGTGGAGGTGGCCAGCATGGCTGCTGATGCGGCCGCTGATTGATCGATGCATATCGATGCATAAATGCTGATTGATTACCCCAAACCACCCCACCTTTGACCCTCGCACAGTCATGGTGGCGCAGCGTGGCCTCGTCGTGGGGCAATCCACGTCGCGTGGCCGCATACACAACAACTGATCCGGAATGCGCCATCAGCGCGAATATCAACATGTGCATGCGGCCATGTGCTGACCTTACCTGACTTGACCTGCAGGCGGCCATGATGACGCTGTCTGGGCCACCCTCATGGAAAATCTGCGCGGCCGCGATGCGCGACAAGATGCGGATTGGGAACAACTTCATGCTCCCCGCGTCCATGGTCGGCCTGGGCAGCACGCTTGGTGTCTGCAGAGTGCTGGGCCGCATCGGCTGATGCCTTTTTTTAATGTTGCCTTCGGGATTGATCCACCCGGTGCTTGCAAGAATGGCTGCTGCAAGCAATGCATGTTGCGAGGCTTTCCTTGCGTGCTGCCGCCGAAGCCGCGCAGCGCCCTTCATGGGAACCTTTGCAAAAAAGCAACGCGGAGGTGAAGCAGCCGCGCCTGCCGCTGATGGAGGTGCTTTGTGTTGCTGCGCGACATTCGTTTCTCCATTGACCCTCTGCCGATAGAGATGGAGATGTTTTGGAAGTCACATAAATGCGCAAGCTTGTGCAATATCCAGAACGAATTCGAAGTGGACCGCATCGGCTCCGCGTCTTGGCGGCCGAAGTGAGGAAGCGCTGTAATGCCGACTCGCAAACTTCGACGCGGCGCCTCGTCCAGCCCCAGGCGCGGCTAACGCCGCTGGCTCCGCGTGCCGGCCGCGCAAGGCTGGGCCCGAAGGGTTGTGGAGCACAGTGACAGCGCATCACGCTGTTTGCAGAAGCATTGGGCGTGTGAACCATGCCGCTGCTGCTGGCCGAACAGGCTGATGTCCGCTGGACCTCGCAGATGCAGCGCCACCAAGCAGGCTGCCACTGCGTTAGCCCAGCAAGCACCTTCCGCAGCAGCGGGGACCCTAATTGTGGAGCGGCGGACCCGGAACAACAAAAGCAGGCAGAAAAGGGCACTAAAAAAACACTTTTGAAAAAAACGCAAGCGATCTTGAAGTCGGCCGTGGTGGGCCGCAGCGTTTCTGCTTGCTCGCCGTTGAGGTGGGAGGTGTTGGAGCGATGAGGCCAGGCAACACAGGCGGCATCCCTGTGGCATGTGTCTCGTACTTGGCTAATGCGGTGCTGCTAAGCCGGTTCTGCCGTTGCACTAAGCTGGGTCATGCGCGGAATGTGGCAGCCCACTCGCGTGCGCATAGCCAGTGAAGGGACCGGGGACCTAGTCTAGCGGGATTTCTGTCGCAAAAAACGGCGCCAAAAATTACAACAATTATTCCCTTTCACTTCGTGTACTCGGAACCCGCCAGGGACGCATTGGATGTGAGGTGCGGGCAGACACTCTGGCGGCGGCCGTGCTGAGCCAAGCCTTGTGCAAACGCATCATCACGTGAAGCACAAGCCACGGCACCTTGTGCTGCAGAGACAAAAAAGGGGAATTGCCCCACTTGGCGTGCGTCCTTAGTTGTTTCCAACCCCTTTCACCAGTAGCCTGTGTCCCCTTGACAGAGCAGCAGGGGACGGTCACACCAAGATGCAGCGAGCGTCCGTGGCAGGCGCTTGGATGTGCATGTCCCAGATCAGAGCAGACGAGCATCGGCGGCTCGATCCATCAACAACATGCAGGCATGACCAAAGGGGCGTGGCGAGAGGAAACATGCAGACCTTGCCAGGAATCATGGTGATGATGACAAAGGTTGTAACGGTCGTAACTGGCGAAGCCATGTGAGCAGACTTGGGAATCTATGACCTTCCCAACCGTACTTGCGTCCTGGCATCAGCAAAGACGGGGGCTCTTGAATTCAGAGACGATGCACATCAGAGCATCAAACCCGTTAGTGCAGGCCAGATAGCCAAGCCCCGGCATTCTGATTTGGCGAATCAGGCCATGATGGCATGAACTGTTCATGTCTCGGCACAACTTAGGCAAAGGCGTCTGCGAAGGTTTCTCAGCCTGCATGAGTCATAATATACCCGCGGATATGGGTATTTCATACTAGTCGGGGAGTTGGGATTCATTATTCAAGGTAACATCCACGTTTGGCAGCCGATCCCAGTGTCCTGTGAAGGCTCCTGCACGGCAGCCGCAGCACGCGGCCTCATTCATGTGGTCGCAAAACAGCTCGTAGTGTGAAGAACACTAAGGGAGCTCCATAGGTATGTATGCCTAACAGAATTTGGACCTCAAACTAAATTCCATCGCTTCTTGTCCAGCTTAACCATTAAGGGACCCCAACCATATACACCCCAATCCTTACGATGGGGACTCCCAAAATAGTACCCAATACTGTTTAGTAGGGTTGGAACTACCAATCCATCCAGACCATGACAAGACTTATGCTTCGTGGAGCACATCTTGCAGCATTTTAATATGAGCCATAGTCTAAACTCCAAGTATCCCCACCACAAAACCATACAGCGGTCCACCTCTATAATCCCCCTTTGAGGAGTTTAGACTATAGCTTACATGCTTAGACCATCACATGGGATTTTCATACTACAGCCATTATAGCAGAATCTCGTATAGGAGCCCAGTGCTCCCGTTCAAATCCCTCGATATCCCTGGCCCCTTTTTGAAAGGGTGCACCAAAAATTGACAAAGTCCCGCTTAGAAGTCTCCGCTCAAATTCTGAGACCACAGCGGCTCGTTCTCCTTGTCTACCTGAGGTGCAAAGCTGCATGGAAGAAATCTTGCATCCTCAAGCGTCCACGAAGTACTTCAAGTGTTATGGGACAAGTGTAGAAATGAGCGGTGCAAGATTTCACGTTACCTTGATCCTGGCAAATCTCAACTGCATGAGAACTTGCTGCTGCTGAATCTTGTTGCTTCCATCATTGTTTGATTCACAGCACACGGCGGCTGCTTGCACTTGCGTCTGCAACTAAGCTTTCGACTTGTGAAGGAGCCATCTCATCATCCATCTAACGACCACGTGCGAGCTCTTGGGAAGCTAGAGTTTTATGGAATGGGGGCTTGAGAGACCAGTAGCCACAATAAAAAAGCACGTGAGACGAAGAAATGCGTAACGTCATTAAACAGCAGCTTGTTGTCCAAGTTCCGTGGCCGGAAAAATGGTAGTTTCCCAAAATAAGGGGACCCCAATATAGACCCCAAAATACTATACTCCTTATTATGGGGACCCCCAAAAAGGTACCCCTAATTTTGGGAAACCCCCAAATCAACCTTGGTACCTCTACAGGATGCCAAGCCCGAAAAAAAGGAAATTGCCCACTCAGCCAATAAGCTGGCAAATGGATTGAACGTGCGAACAATATACCTTACAGCAGTATATGGGCAGCATTGTGTGCATGTGGATACTTCTAGTCTGCATCTGCTATACCATGTTCATTGAACTGTCCGGCACAATTCATGTCGATGTTTGGAAGTCATGGGTCTTGAGCAATCTTTCAAAGCAGCAATGAATGTCTGGCACTGGCGTTCGTGAAAATCTGACAGCAGAAAGGTCGGTAATGCGCGGGTATGGTCCACCACAATACTTGAAATCCATACAGTACTGGCCTTGTACTAGCTTCTTAAACGATGTGACGGTTGGGAAAATGAAAAACCATGGTCATTGCGGAGTAACGGCAAAATTTCCACTTCCTCAAGGGTCCGCTAACCCTGCAAGCAGCCTTTCTTTTCTTGCAGAACTTCCGGAAAAGGGCTTGTCAAGCCCTAGGGTTTGGATTAGGGTTTGGGGTGTAGGGATTGGGGTTTGGGGTTTAGGGATTAGGGTTCAGGGTTCAAGGATCAGGGTTTAGGGATTAGGCTTTAGGGTTAAGGATTGGGGTTTAGGGATTAGGGTTTAGGGATTAGGGTTTATGGTTTAGGGTTCAAACAGGCCGTAGGTTACGTACTGGACATATACTTGATGCTTTGGTATGTCACAAGTTCAAGTTTATTGAGACACCAAGTATACACACTCACCAATTTGCCCAGAAAACGTATATTCACTCACCAAAACCCAAACGAAAACCCTACTTCAAATACCTTAATCCCATGAACCGCAATATTTGCCAGTTTCCCCTTGATTTTCTTTATCATGTTCCTTTTGATTCTACATCTATGGGGAAAAATACATCAACAACGGACACTCTACTTGACACATTGCCAGGTCTGTTTGTTAGAATTCTGCAGGTCTCTGAACAGTGAGGCCGCAGAGACGCTCAGGCGAAGCGCCCCTCCGAATTCATCGCAGAAAATCTCAGGGCCGGGGGCCCAAAAGAGGCAAAACTTGCAAGCGAGTAGTATTGTTTGCAAGCGTATGTCTTATATCCTATAAGATACTACTACACAAAGAAGAATACTATCTTACTCTATGTTGGGGATTATGCTCGCCCTTTGAGAAAATACTACTCAATTGGTGGTGGGTCTCCAGGCCGGCCATTGTGCGCGTGCTGCCAAATAGACCCGAAAGCACAGCCCCCCTGTCGGGAGGGACTGGCCTATACAGGCTGTGCAGAAAGAACACTCAAGCTAATCCATGCAAGCTTGCAAAGAAAATGCATTCACTAAATATGCCGCATGACTGTACAATGTCCCCGCCAGGCAGATCACCTGTGCAAAGCGGCCTTGTGCGGGTTTCTGCACTGCAGACATCAAGCTCGCACGCATACGTTTTAAGAAGCTGGATGTCGAATCTACTTCGACATGACACGTGGCAGGAGCTTGTCCTCTGGGGTGCACACTCGGTCAAGCGTTTGGGCTTGACTCTCAGACTTCAGAGGCTTGAAGGATGTGCGAAACACATGGAAGATGAACCGCTCTGTACTGGCCAGCAGAGCGTCCACGTTGACGCAGTCCCCATTGGGAAAGAAAGGGCCTCTGTGAGGGCAGCAGGTGTTCAATCTTAACTACTTCAGACTGCCACTTACAAACCCTTTTGGGCACAGAACGGGCCTTTATCCAACACGAACATGACCCGCAGCATGCCCCTGAAGCAAATGAAGTAGAGACACGAGGCCACTAAAGGCCAGAACTGAAAGCACTGCTCCGTCTCAGCGTACATCTTTGTTGGATAGCCCACCAAGGCCAGAGCGAGCAGGATGTTCGTGACCACAATCATCATGACTCTCATCAGCTGGCTCCTGAGGTCAAACTAAGCTTGTCACGCATGCTCTCAACATGCAGAAGGTACATGTTGCAGAAGTGAAAATTAAGGGGAGCGCGTTTGCATGTCAGGCATGTCAGCAAGGGATGCCAGGATGCTGCGCAAATCGCATATCTTCCGCATGAAGGTCTCAGTATCTGCAGCCTGCACCGAATCGCACTCAAGGTCTGCGTGCCAAAGTGTACCAAGCCAGGACACGAGCGTGTCCCGAAGCTTTGTGCTCGCAAAGAGAAGCTGCTGACCCTCCGCATCCGTGAGAAGACCCACCGAGCGAAGCTCTAAGACAACTTGCTCTGGAGATCTTCCCACCCGGGAGTCGAGCTTGAAGTAGGCCAGGTAGTGAATCGAATTCAAGTATCTGTACCACCTGAACAATCTCTGGCGCTGCACCTTGCCAGCAGCCGGATCATTCAACTTCCTGTACGAGCTGGCCACAACCAATGTGACATCGTGCAATCTGCCTTGCACGCTGAACATGGTCCGAAGCCACTGCAACCAGCGAGACACGTCCTGCCCAATCATGTAAGTGATGAAGAAGGTCGGAAGGAATTTGAACTCATCCATGATACCTGTCACTCTTTGCAAGTTTGCAAGAAACAATTCGTACCAGCCCTCTGCGTCCATAAGTGGATCTAGCTGTTTGTTCCTCTCGATGGTGCTCCGCACTTCCGCCAACAGCGCCCCGACTACTCCAGTAGCGCAAGCATAGGTGATGGCAGACAGTGACATGCGAACAAGACCTGAAGTCAAGAAGTAGACCAACACCTCACCTGAAGGGGGTTTTGTTGGTTGAGCCTAGAAAGATGAGCTTTTTGTTGGATAGTAGCACCTAGGAGGACTCCATTCATGTAACACACCATAAACAAGAGGCGAACTCAATCTCACTCGCAAAGGGACTCTAGTACCCCCACATAAAAGAACTACTGGGATAGTATTCGGGGACCATAAAACTCCCATTGCAAGGACTGTCCGCCTGGCGTGTGACAATACTGGCGGTAGCCAGAGTACGCAGGTGGCGGAATGGTTGCCTCCCCGTTCGCCCTGCAGAAATTGTGCTCATCCCGGAGGAAGCTTCGGAAACTCATCTCTCTGAGCAAGGCCATCTTTACCTGAACAAACTCCATGCGGCTGCAAAGAGCCCATTTGGAGGGGAAAGCTGCTGGCAAGAAGGACGCCTGATCCTGTCAGGGTTACATAGGGGTCATGTGGTCCCATTATGTCCCATTATAAGGTTTGATGGGGAGATCGGCGGGGGAGTGGACAGGAAAATGAAAACCACACCCTAAACCCTGATCCTGCACGGCTTTCTCCAAGTCATGGAAGTGTGAGGCATCAAGCTCCGATTCGCGGGGAGCTGCAAGCCTACGCAGCCGCCGTGTTACCTGTCAGGTGACCTTTTGATGTAAAGACGTACAATCTAAGCTTAAGATTTAGGGAACAGGGCTTAATGGCAATCTTGCCAGACATTAGTTATGTAAAATCCCTAGATAGTCCCTATCTAATCCCTATATACTCCCTATATAAACGATTATAAAATCAAAACTTCTAGCCTTGGGCCTTGGACCTCGAGTATGTGCCGTGCCTCTCATCCTTGGGTCCTTCCCTGTATTAGCCCTTCATCTGCCTTCTCAATATTTGGATTATATTCGAGGCGTTATATACGGATTATATAGGGATTCTGTAAGGATTATATAGGGCTTCTATAGGGGTTATACAGCGGTTATATAGGGATGCAGCAACCCTTGGAACGCCCTAAAAGGCTCAGGACCCACTGGCCTTCTCGGGAAAGTCGGGCTTCCTGAAGATAAAGGCAGTGCCCAGCGTGAGGAGCAAGAAGGTGTAGCACGTTGGAAAGCAGCCGTTTGTGGGAGGGAACTCCTAGCGGAGAATCACAAGACTAATTTTTGGCTCCTTGGGTCTTGTTTATTACCTAATTGCTTGTGGGACGGAGCTCCTGGACCTTGGGGTTGAAGGTTTAGGGCTGAGGTGTTAAGGCTTATTGCCTTTTTGTCAGCTCCCAGGATGATGTTATTGGCTCCACTGGAGCATGAACGCGCAAAAAAGTGCCTACTTGGCCGATCTCTTTGGATGTGGCCTGCGTGGCACGAACCGCAAATTTGAAGCATTTCGAGGGCCCAAAATGCTGCGTCCACGTATCGCGCTTTTCCATGTTTGAGAGCATACGAAAACCAGTGCACCCATGCCGAAACCATGATAACGTTTGTGTTCCGAGTGCATCCGACTATCAGTGCATCCATGCCGAAACCATGATAAAGCTCGTGTTCCAAGAGCATACGGTCACCAGAGCATCCATGCCCAAACCATAATAATGTTCGTGCTCCGAGAGCATGCGGTCAAAGAGCATCCATGCCCAAAACATAGTAACGTTCGTACTCCGAGAGCATACGGTCACCAGAGCATCCATGCCAAAACCATAATAACTCTTATGCTCCGAGTGCATGATATTTCCAACGCATCCATGCCCAAACCATGATAACGTTCGTGTTCCGAGCGCGTGCGATTAATGGTGCATCCATGCCCAAACCTTAATACTGTACGTGTGCTTGAGGGGTTTAGGGTTTACTTGCCCCTGAGATGATTGCAGATGTTTGCGGGGGTTCGGGATTTAGTGGTTAAGGTTTACGTCTTTTCCGACTTGTAATTCAGAACGATCAAGCTCCATACAGGCGCAGTTCCTCCAGCCCCCAGATTCATGTAAAGCCTGAGCCTCCGCAGTTGCCATAAACCCAACTACCCCCTGCGACCTATCAACCCTTGACTTCGACTCCCACAAAAAGAAAACATGCAATTCTTCCTCTGGAATTCCTGCCGGAAAGAGTTCCCTGCAAAACGCAATATTTCCGCAAGGGTATGCGTAAATTCTTACTTTTGTTGACGTGTAGTTCGGGTTTTTTCGGGATGGCACATAGCTGCGTGCTTGTTTAATACTGCGTTTTGCAGGGGATTCCGCGCTGTAGCGTTGCGCACTGATGAACCGGCGCGCGTTTACGGTCCGGCAGACCGTTGTTATCGTTCATGCTTGCCCTACACCCTAGACCCTGTATTATTGAGGGTTGTAGGAGGGGAAGTCCTGGATCATCCGTACGGGCCGCATGAACCTGATCCAGCGACCCCACCTGGCGATCATTCTGGAGCAAATGCAAGACACAAAAAAAAAATCCTGACGTAGATTCTGTATATGATGTGGAGTGTAGGGTTTAGGGGTTAGTGTGTAGGGTTTAGGGGTTTCGGGTAGGTAGAGGATGTACCTGTAACCCACGTACCTACAGCTTCATGTGGTATATAATAGAACTAAATGATACCCACTAAGAAGGACACTTGCTGGTACACTGTAGGCCGCTAACCCTACAGCCCAAATAAGCCACATGCGCTAAACCCTACACAGCCTCATCCACCCTAAACCCTAAACGCCCTAAACCCTACTACCCTAAACCCCAAGTACTAATACCCTAAAGCCTGATACCCTGAACCCCAAATACTAATACATACTAAAAATACCCTAAACCCCAATACCGTACGCCCCAAATACTAATCCCCTAAGCCCTAACACCTCAATACCCTAAACACTTGATACTTCTACCCTTAACCCTAACACCCTAATACCCCAAGCCCTAAACCCTAATACCCTAAACCCTAACACCCCAATTCCCCAAACCCTAAACCTAATACTCTAAACCCTAACACCCTAATACCCCAAGCCCTAAACCCTAATACCCTAAACCCTAACACCCCAATTCCCCAAACCCTAAACCTAATACTCTAAACCCTAACACCCCAATTCCCCAAACCCTAAACCTAATACCCTAAACCCTAACACTCACTAAACCCCAAGGAATCCTACCTGGATTTGCCAGCTTCCTTCAGCCACTTGCAAGCGGCTCTTTGCGGGTCGGAGCCCACATCCTTCCAGGCCTGAAACAGCTTCTCATAGTCCTTTCAAACAGTTTAGCGTTCAGGGTTTAGGGTTTAGGGCTTAGGAGTTTATGGGCTCATGTTGAAGTTTAGCGTCACCAGCTGCAGAACATGATTGCAGCATCCATTGTTTTATGGTCTCCCAAGATACTCCTGCACGAGATTGCCATGTTTACCCAACCATATGTGGATCCTTCTAGTGCGGACCCTGACTATGAAGTGGCCCGCAACTTTGAGAAACCGAAACTCATAGCCCCTTAAAGCCATCCTTCGAAGGAGATCCATAGCTTTGAGAAAACCACATTTGCCCCCATAATCCTCAATTGTTCTAACTCTAGGGTTTAGGGTTTAGGATTTAGGGTTCAGGGTTTAGGGTTCCTCACTGATACCTCACATTTGGGACTTTCTCAAAGTCATCCCCCTCTATAATCCTGACTACCAGAACCCCCTTAAATACTTTATATGGTAGTTTCCAGAAATAGTGGACCCCAAACATAGCCCCCCAAATACTATGATCCTTACCATGGGCACCCCCGACAAGGTGCTCCTAATTTATGGAAACCCCATATTTGATCCTAAACCCTCATAATCATACTCCCCAAAAAAATAGACTATAGCTCCTACATCCCCAGGGCCCCCCCTTTCTGTGAAGCCCAAAGACGATCTCAAGATGGTCCTCCTTGTCCAGGCTGAAATGAGCGGCAAAGTATGCGGCTTCCGGGGATGCCTAAAAATGGAAACTACTATATTCTAATAGGGGTTACTTAGGCGATATATATATATATATATGGAAAATGGAAGAGAAAATGGAAACTACTATTATAATAGGGGTTGTTTAGGCGCTAATGGAAAAGAAAATGGAAACTACTATATTAAGCCCAAATAATAAGTTTGATGTTCTTGATTTTTATGGTACCTGTTTCCAACTGCCAATCCAGTGTTCAGGGTTTAGGGTTAGGTTTTGGGATTTTTGGTTCAGGGCTTGGGGTTTAGGGTTTGGGGATTAGGGTTTAGGGCTTGGGGTTCAGGATGTGGGGTTAGAGTTTCAGGTTTGGGGTTCCAGGGTTTAAGGTTGAGGGGCTTAGGCTCCTGAGGCTTAGAGGGTTGAGGGTGCTTTAAAAACCCTGTGCACTCTCTAAGAACTTGGGACTTAGGAGTTCTGGGGTTTGCTTTCGGGGCTCAGGGTTTATGTAGGGTGTTGGGGACTGTTTTGGATTTAGGGGCCTGCAGTTTACTGGTAAAGGTCTGGGGGTCGAAGAATTAAAGACATTTGGGTTTCTGGTTCAGAGTTTCGGGTTTGAGGTTTAGGGGTTTGGGGTTTGGGGTTTCGGGGTGCAGGACTCGGAGGTTTACGATTTTGGGGTTTAGCGCGTAGGCAGGTTCAACAGATTAGTGCAAGCGTGCCTTTATAAATTACTAGTGTTCAAAAAAAATCTTCAATACTCCCAGCCTAGATCTCTAAACCCTACTGCCTAAACCCAAACCCCAAACCCTAAGTGAATGGCAAGGCCAGCAATCTACTGGATCGAAAACAGGCCATTCTCTACTTGGAGGGTCAGTGGGAGTCAGTAAGTAGGTTAGGGTTTAAGGTTTAGGGTCAGGGGGACTCTGTAAGTAGGTTAAAAACCACCCAAAAAAACATATAACCTGACTCCCAGATCCTAAAACCCCAAACCTGAATCCCTACATGTCGTAAAACACCAAAAGTCAAGGTGCCACTTCAAGTTCCGCTTGATCCGCCTTTTATGATAACTTGGGCCCTAAATAACCCTTGAGTAACCTGCCATAATCCCCGCGTTACCCCCCTAAACCCTAAACCCTAATACCCTAAACCCTAAACCTGAAATGTAGAGAACCGGGAGGCCTGCAAGGCCGGCGATATCAGGCTGATGAGGGGCTGCCCCTCCAGGTGGCATGCAAAGCGGCCGTTGGGGACCATGCTTTGCCTGGGTCATGGTAAGGATAAGATGCTCATTTTGTGTAATATCTTGCTACAATACAAACAACAAAATGTGGTGAAACTAAACGGGTGTGTGACCCCTATTTGGGCTTAAGCCTCCATACATGGCTTAAAGAACTCTCGCAGCTCCGTTGGCAAACCAAAACTGTTAGGCACCCTCCTTGCCATAAGCCAAAGAAGACGACCAAAACAGTTACCCAGATGCGTGGTGTTGCAGCCATACTTCGCGGGTGGAAACTGGACTGGCACGAGGTTGCTTGCTGGTACCCCCTCAACCCCCGCTGAAGGATAGTAGTGCTGGAAGAGAAGGTCACGCCTTGAAGCATAGGCTTCCCAAATCTGAGCCTCCTTTGAGGTGGAGGTGAGGTAGGCCACCGAAAGTGACAAATTGTTGTTCGCAATCTGCTGTTCGAGTATGCCTTGCGTGTAGTGGGAGTATTCATGCAAGACTTGGCCCACGCAATGAGTCGGATCATGTCGGCAGGATGGGGACTGCCAGGTGAAGTTCTTGCACTGCCATTCTGCCCTTGAACACAATTGCGCAGGATCTGCTGCAGACTCTCCAACCATGGCTGCCAACCCAACATGCAACCAATGCAACTCGGGGCTTTGCAGATTCTGGTAGAACTCAGCCTGGGGAAAACGATCGATGGTGTGCTTCAATGTAAAGATACCACTGAAGCCAGATACGTGATGATGAGCTGCAACAATAGCCCTGTCAGCCTGGACCCATCTCTGAATCTGTTCAGCCTTGCCTCCTTGCCAGACCTCAAAGTTTGCATCAGCACTGCCCATGGCAATAGCCCGGAAATCATGCAACGGACTATCCTGCGGGGTCACCCACAGAACGTCGTACATCAGAACCTCTTCCAAAAGAATGGCAGCGACCTCTGACACCAATTGATGTGACGTCCAGGCATGTTTCATGAGTCTCAAACTTTCCTTCTGCTTCGGTCTAGTTGGAATGTCAAGCTGGCAGGCAGCCCCGGCAAGAGTGAGCATCTGTAGGACTCTGATGCATCGACATGTTACCACCATGCCGTTTGCTCCGCGCATGTTGCTGCCACTGTATTCAAAGATGCCTGATAAGCAACCATCAGAACCTACATTCACACCCACGTGAAACTTGCAAGCGCTCAATCCAATGGCATGTCCCTGTTGTTCTGCTACGAGTCTGCTAACACGTCCATGCCGGCTGGAACTGAAACTCGGCATGCATCCACACATGAAATCTCTACAAATAATCTGGTGTAAGCAAATGGTTCATACAAAATTACATAGCGTGTGTCAATCTTTCGCACAAAACTTCACTAGGATACGGCAACAGTAACAAAACAAATAAGCCAATCATTCCGGGGGTGATGCCAAAAACAAATCGTCGACATGTTGTGTGTCACGATGCAAAACATTTGTCTGCAACCGTCATGCATTTTGGGTCAAGACCAAGTCTTAGACTTGGACGCGGCTTGATGGTTTTTTGTCTTCTGAACATCGCAATTCATTGTACTGTGATAAGGCTACTGACCGCTGGAGCTGGACGGAAGCAAAAGAATGTGCGGGGGTTCAGCTCGGATCCTGCGGGTTCCCTATAAATATATGCAAGCCCAACATGGGTGCTGAAGTGCGTTTATTGGTCTCATATCCACATAAATTCTTGTAGGTCTAATACAAGCCCTGCGTTCCAATGCAGATTTTGTATTGGTTCTGTCAAGCGTATTTTTTGCTGTGCAGCGGCGCGGGCTGCGCACTGTGCGCAGGCCCATGCAAGTGCGCGTTTCCCCAAGTCCCGCAAGTCTATACGGATCCGAGGTGGGTCCTGTGAAGCGGCCACAAGAGCTTCCACAGCATGTTGTCTATGGAAGCATGTGCAGATTATTACAACAACATACGTGCAAGAGGCTTGCTTGCTGGTGGCTTGAATTCAAGCCAACGCAAATATACCTTCAACAACAGCTCTGCCAGAAGCGGGCCGGCAAGCCGTGTTCGAGATGAAAAACGGCAGAAATTGGGCCCTGGCCTGAAGTCCGACAAGCTACTGTTTACAGGTCTCAGAATAAAACCTTTTGACGTTACAAGATCCTGGCGCGGCTTTTTATTTGGACTTTACACTATATTAAACATTATTAAACAGACACATGGTTCTTGCAATAGATAGTCCACCAACACCGATGGGGGTCATGAAGGCACAAACGCTTCACTGCTACCAATACCAAACCTTCCATAATTTGAGCACTCGTTACCACATCTAAAGCATTTTTGGTAGAGTTAGGGTCCAAAGACGATTTTCAGTTAGAACGTTCCACTAACGTGGAATCCGCAAACATTTTCCTTGAATCCAGCGCCCCTCATTCCTTATTCTGGCGGGGGGTCCCCAAAATTGAACAAATGCTAGGATAAGTCGGAAAAGTCTGAATTCGGAAAATTCTGAATTCTTGCACTGTTCCTGTCAAAAACTACCACAACACGCTGCAGAGAAAAGCATTTGTCTTGTTTTTGGGATTTTTATTTTGAACGTGGCTGTTCTCGGGGCTTGAAGGCTGGCAGGTTTCAAGTTCCTTTGCCGGTCTGTTTCGCTCCTCCTGTAATGACTCAAAGCAATCTTGCGTCATTCCCCGCGGGCCCCACACGGGCCCCACGCGCGTCCCTGCGGGTCCATTTTACAGTGCGCAAGTCCCAAGCACCGTTTGGTTTTTAAGTTTTATGAGGAAAGACAAAGTCCAGGGGAAGTCGAGTGCTGGACATGCGTAAGTGATTGTTTTAATGCGTTATAAGTTAAATCCTTCTCTAGAGTGGGCGCTTGCTGCAGGATGGCATAGTGAACACGTGGAGCAAGCAAGTGACGCGCTGGAGACTTGTTCAGAAAAACACTCATGTTTTGAGTCATGATATATGTGAACGCTTGCACTCACCAAACAGGAAGAGCTTTCATCAAATATTACTCATAACAAATCTGTTTCAATCCAATCAGCGGACAAACTTTTTTCATGACCAAGAGGACTTGTCCTCACGAGCAAAACTTTTTTTCGCACTCACCAGCTTGAACTGGGAACGTGATACAGACATGCATGTGAATCATTGTCAATCTCACAACATGCATGCCAATAAAAAAGTGAAACCTCAATTTCAAAGGACGTGTGGGAAAACAGCATGTTATTTGTTCAAGAAAGACGGATTTCAAAAACATCATGAATAAGGTCCTATCCACTTTTCCGATTGGTTTTTCAGCGGAGTAGTGACTTATTCGCAATATATTTGAACGCTTGGACTCACCACACAAAAACAGCTTTCATCAAGTAGTATTCTCCACATTCCTGTGGGGTTTTAGTTGTTTAGATGCACTGTCGCCCGCCATGTCATGGGTAATCTTCCGTCGCGCAAGCATTTGGGACGTGCCCTTGTTGGCTTCGCTTGAGACATCCTCAAAAAATTGTTTTCGATCAAACAATAGGAGACTTCGCCTTTAAAGTATTCTTGCTAAAGGGGGTCGTATGGTCTCGCCATTGTTTGAGCAAAGTCGCGCTCCAGTGCAAGACATCCTCAAAATTTCGGGTTGCGCACTTCTTGAACATTCAAAGCTGCGCTCCCGCGCGAGACAATTCGAATTCTTTATTTGCTCTCAGCAAATATCGCATTTTCCACCAATAGAAAATGCAATATATTCATTCACGATGTTCCCAATTCGTGGGAATCATAAACTTGATCAGTTGCAATCTCGAAGTTATGTTTCATAAAACTTATCAACTATAATATCAAATCAAATATTCCCATAAGTCAATCAGGTGCAATCACAAAGGGAGCAGCACGCGTCCATTTTTTCATCTAGCGGTATCAGAGCGCGTGGGGAATTCATTGCAATGGGCCCACATTTGCGCGACCCGCACACGGTGTGCATCCGCCTCCGGACTGCACGCACTATCACAGCTCTGCCGTAGTCTCAGTCAGTGGCGCTCCAAATCCCAGGCACCCTAACGCCGCTGATGCGAGACGTTTGCAGTCCGCTCAAACGCGTGCTTCCCAACAAAAATTAAGAACACCACGGGACGGAGCGTCTGCGGGATTGCTGTGGTGTTTACCCGTTCAAACCAAGGATTTATACCCTCACTTTCGGTTAGCCTATGAACCGAAGAAATCAGCTGGCAGCCACACGGGTTGTCACTGGCACCGCTGATCATGCTATGGATCCACCCCTCATTATCCACAAAGACGATTACCTTCTTGGGTCGGTTCACTGGTGGCTGAGACGGCTGCTCAAGTCTGCATGTTGATCTTCGTTCAGCTGCACTGGACTTACATCAGCCAATGCGCAGGCAGCAATTGTAAATCTTACTTAGATTGAAAGGCAACTCGGACGCTGGCTCTGGCATAGCAGCATCTTGCAATTCTTGATGGAGAGGAAAATGTCTTTCAGAAGAGCAGCAACACAACATTTGCGTTTGGTCTTAGATGTGGTACGGTTGCTTTCAAAACGAAAATAAGAAAAACACAGAGGGACTAATTGCCCTTGCAGCTGACCAAATTGAGTGCACAGAAGAACAAACCTGCAAAGAATGATTGCAGATTCTTGGCGTCGTTGTTTGTAGAATTGCATGCACTGCAGATGCCTATGGCAATCAAGATAAAACAGTCAGCGCAAAGTATTAGCAATCATGCTACCATTCTTTATGTGTAGCAGAGTTATGACCTGCTACAGGCCATCATTCGGAACTGGGACTGCAAGCCTCAAGCTTGCTTGTTTATGCTTACCGGCTATCGGAATGGATGCGTTAGCAAATTTCAAGTCAGAATTTCAAGTCTTTGCTGCTTTTTGGCAGCCACACCAACGGAACAGAACCAAGAGCGCTCTGCCAATAATGGAGAGGGGAGGCCCGTGGTAGGGTTTTCCAATCGGAGTATCCCCCACTCGGATCTCAGACATCTGGAGTATCCCCCCACTCGGATCTCGAAAATCTGGAGTATCCCCCCACTCAGGCTCCAGATATCCAGAGAAACAAGATTTCGTGGGCCAGCCCGAGTGTCCTCCCAGCCGGCCCGGCCCAGCCCAGCTCCATCCCTTCCACGTCAGTTCAAACCTTTTCCCGTTTCGTGAAGAAGGTCCCACTATGCCCGGTTTTGTTGACCCAGCTGAAAAAACAGCGGCGCAGTTCACTCACAATCTGAAACGTGCGGCCGTACAAGTACGAGCGCTAAAAAAACGTTTGTAAGGGACATGCAAGGGATGCAACGCGCAGACATGAAAAATCGTACAGCAACCAAAGTGGAAAAATTACAGCAAGGTCCACAAAAACGCCTTTAAAGACAGCTGTTTTATGTGTTCAATACAAAACAGACACGCCCTGATGGATACACTCTCTCCAGACAACTCAAGCCCTTCCGTGCAACACGCATCTTGCAATGTGTTACCATAAAGACTTATGGCAGCAGCAGCTCGAAGACAAGAAATTAGCAAGCGTGTTTTCGATCCTAGAACGGGCTTCGGAAACCTGGAGCAAACCCTGAGAAGAGCCAGAGCTAAAAATGTCTCCTCAGCCGATGTTTCAGCTCCAAGTGGACCTGGCGGATATGAGCGTTTTTGCTGAGGCACCCCCACAGGTACTTGTTAGCAGCCATAGACACTTTCAGCAAAAAGCTCACGGCCGTCCCTATGGCAAATAAGGAAGCGGCAAACGGCTGCTAGAGCATGGGATCAAGTCATCAAAGACCTAGGATTCCAAACAATGTCTACGAGATGATGGCAAGTTCAAGAAGAAATTCAAAGCCAAGTTGGACTGCTTTGACGTGGACGAAGTGGTCACTCGGGGCTACGCTACGGTTGCCGAGCGAGCGATCAGGACCTTGAAGAAGGCTCTTGTTCGAACGCT